AGCAATGTCTCACGAGTACCACAGAACCCCCCTTTAACCGTTTTTATGGTGTTTTGGAAAGTTACAGGGTCAAATATAGCACATTCCATTTTCCATTTTTTTTTTTCACATTGAAATTTGCCAGATTAGTAATGTTACCTTTGAGACCGTGTGGTAGCCCAGGAATGAGAATTAACCCCATGATGGCATACCATTTGCAAAAGTAGACAACCCAAGCTATTGCAAGTGGGGTATGTCCAGTCCTTTTTATTAGCCACTTAGTAACAAACACTCGCCAAAGTTAGCATTCATATTTGTTTTTGTGTGAAAAAAGCAAAAAACTAATATTTGGCCAGTGTTTGTGACTAAGTGGCTACTAAAAAAGATGGGACATACCCCACTTGCAATACCTTGGGTTCCCTACTTTAGCAAATGGTATCATGGGGATAATTCTCATTCCTGGGCTACCATACGGTCTCAAAGGCAACATTACCAAACCAGCAAATTTCTACGTGAAAAAAAAATTAAATACAAGCCTTATATTTGACTCTCTAACTTTCTAAAACACCATAAAACCTGTACATGGGTGGTACTGTTATACTTGGGAGACTTCACTGAACACAAACATTAGTGTTTCAAAACAGTAAAATGTATTACAACAATAATATTGTCAGTAAAAATGTCGTTCATGTGTGAAAAATGCAAAAAACTTCACGTTTACTAAAAATATCATCGTTGTAATACAGTTTACCATTTTGAAAAACACTAATATTTGTGTTCAACAAAGTCTCCCGGGTAAAACAGTAAACAGTAACCCCTCATGTACAGATTTTATGGTGTCTTGGAAAGGAATAGGTGTGTCAGGAACAGAATAAAATTTATAAAAATAATAAAAGCATAAAAAGTAAAATAAATGGTCAAACACACAAATGAGTGGATGCCAAATATACATCCACACTTGAAGTTTACACTTGAAGAAGCCCCTATACTGGCGAAACGTGTTGTGTTGTTTTACTATTCTGTTTTTTTTTTAAGCATTCAAGTATATTTGGCATCCACTCATTTGTGTGTTTGACCATTTATTTTACTTTTTATGCTTTTACTATTTTTATCAATTTTATTCTGTTCCTGACACACCTATTCCTTGGAGTATCCACCCTACATCTGTACCCTGGGGAGGATTACTCTCCGGAGAATTTTCCCGACAATATGTCACTGGTGGGGATTATACCACCCAGACGCTAATAATTGAGCAGTATAATTGAGAGTAAATTACTATTATTCTTAATGTGAGTGCTAGTTTTCATATTTGTGTTGTGAGTCCACACCTAGCACTAAACATATTGCACTATTAACGGCCATCTCTCTTTTATTTTCATATATTGGATTACAAGCCGACATCTGGAAAGCCGTTAATTAAGAAGCACAAAAGCATTCTCTAAATATATTGGACTGTATTATTGGCGCAACCTATTTTTGCTAGTATCGTACTAATTCTATCCAACCTGGAATGCAGTGATAGGCTGAGAGCCATGGGCTATCCCTTTTAAAAGTCCAAGCAAAATAAAGATTATATGTACAAAGTATTGGGAACAAAAATATTGTACTATATTTTATATAGGTAATTTGTACCTTTTTAATTTGTTAGAAAACTCTTTCACCTGTCTCAAGTGACACTTTTTATGTATTTTTAAACAATTTTTAAACTTTTTTAAAGTTCCTTTGATACAAATCACGCAAAGTCTTCTTTGCTTCATGTCAAAATGATCATCGGGGCCCTATCTCACTGCAGACTGGCAATTAAATAAATGAATATGGAAAAATGTGCAGGGATTAAACTGCTTTGCATATATCTCGTTTTAGAAAAGGTTTGCTTCATCAGTTGTTTTCACATCATTACAACTTTGGAATCTTACTGTCAGCAAGGTATAAAGAAACTCATAGATTTTATGAACTTCGCATTAGCTATTAAACCTACCAATTTCACCTCTAAGCTCTTACAAAGCAGATTTGCTTCAAGGGACAAACTGCATTTTGAACGTGAAAATGGAATTTACGGCTTCTCAGCTCTAAATCTCTCTAATGTTAGTAATGTTGCTATAGAAAAAATGAATGAATATTAACAATGTATTATGATTACCATGATTTTACAGCTCATTGTGTGTGTTTTTGTTGATTAGCACCCACGTACTTAGACCGAAAAATAGTATTCTAGACTTCTAGACTTCAGCTGAGTTTCAATGACTTTTGTCATGGTTCATGTACAAGGGCTGATCAACCTAGTAGATTTCACAGAATGAATGACACTTTGTCTTGTGTCCTTGAATAACCACACAGAATGATGAAATACTTTCTGTGTCTTTGTGTTAAAAAGCCATTGTTAAACTTTACTGGCACATTTTGTAGAGTTTAAAATTAACATAGTGCTGTGTTTCACAATTTAATGCCCCTGAAAGTAAATTAATCTCTTCTTACGATACTGGTCCTCGGCATACATAGGGATGTCCACTCATATAAAATAATACATATCCTTCAATTGGGATGGTTAGATCTACAGAGGATCCAATCAAGCAAAAACACAAAATAGTCACCAATGTTTTTTTGTTTTTTTTAAATCCAGCATGCGTCCAAACTGTTTCTTTGGATATATAGACTTATTTTAATCAGTGTATACAGAAGACAATTCTCCATCCTAAGAAGTATCCACTTTATAAATCAAAGGTTAGAAAGATAGGAAATAAAACAGAAAGTATGGAAGATAAACCAGGAGGGAGATAAAACAACAAAATTGTAAACTACTCAAACAAATTGGCTCAACAATAATTATGGTTTCAATGGCTGGAAGGTGAGCACTCAGATAGAGATGAAAGTTGATGAAAGCAATTAAAAACACTTGGCACCTGAACTAGATTAATTATTTAGAGGCATAGTGATTTTAAGCACTCCAGAGGCCAATGCCGCGTTCTGCAAGGCTTCTAGAGGATGAACAGAGAAGGCTATAGACTGCATCCTGCTTTTTGAGAGCAGCCAGTTGACCTATTAATGCTTAACCGTACCCTGGATCTCATCACATTTGAAGAGCTAAGCAATAACATTTACACAATGCTACTGAGTAAAGACCTGTGCGTGCTAGAAAAAAAAAAAGTAGACTAATGAAAAACAGAGATCAATAACTACAGTAGTTATGATAAATTATTTTTGGGAAATACTGATTGTTAACTTCCAGGTGATATTCCAATAGGTAAAACCATGAATCGGTCAGCAACTTTTGGATTCCTACTCAAGATATAAGTCAACACCTAACAAAAGCCACAGGAACAAAAGGTAGTACAGTAAGACGTAATACTGGGCATCAGAATCCATATTTAATATCAATAATATTTAATCCATAAGGTCAGAAATCTAAAATGCACTGTCAAATGTGTAACAAGAAAAAAACAAATCTGGGTCAAAAAGGCAAGCTGGGTCAGGGAAAATGGAGACAAAAAGAGAAGGACAAAACTGGATCAAAAACCAGAAAAAACACTATACTCAATAATAACCTACCAAGAGGCAGAAAAGTACTAAATGACTCTCATCCCAGTGTTCAAATGTTCTTAGGTTCTGACATGCATTATAATAGAATCTGTGTCGTAATGCTATAAAAAGGTATACAACCCAAAGTTGCAACCTACATTATTTTAACCCCTTAAGGACACATGACATGTGTGACATGTCATGATTCCCTTTTATTCCAGAAGTTTGGTCCTTAAGGGGTTAAAAAAGACCAGATAGAAATTCATGCAGAAATATTGCTAGAATAGCCAAATGTGTTATTTGGAAAAGATGGTAACATACATTTGTGATGTATGTATTTAGATATTTATAGGAGGGCTTAAACTTCACTGTAGTGGTTATGGTGCCATAAGAGCCCTTGCTCCCCCTATTGTAAGTAGTCAAACCATTTAGTAAGGTATTATTACCTGTGGTCTGCTGGCACCTCGTTGGCTTAGACTGTCTGCTGATTGCTATAGTGCACTTTAGTGGTTATGGTGCTTGGAATATTGCTTTAAAGCATATTTTTAGTTGAAAGGAGGTATGAAGTATTGGTGAGAAAATGGCTGTTTAACATTTTTTTAAAAGTTCCATGTGAGTACAACAATATGTCATTAACATACAGAGTCATATAGCATGTTCAGAAAATCCATAGCTACAATGTAAAATGTTTTTTTTTTTTTTTTTTTAAAGCAGAAAAATAAAATAAAATAATATATAATATAAATATAAAAACAATAAAAGTTAGAGATTGGTGGTAAAATTACTTGAAATTTTTCTTCAATTTTCAATTTGGCATTGCGAATAAATACAATCCAGTACAACATTACAATCATAGGCGTGCGCAGCCTATTGCATTAGGGAGTGCACCCTAAAGCACAAACACACGCCACGCGCGTGTGTGTGTATATATCTATCTATATATATATATATATACACACACACACTGCTGTGTGTGCTGTTAGTGTGATGTGTGTGTGAGGGTGCGTGTTTGTGACTGTGCTGTTTGTGTGTGAGGGTGTTTGTGTGTGTATGTTTGTCCTGTAAGGGTGCTGTTTGTGAGGGTGCTGTTAGTGTGCTGTGTGTGAGGGTGTTGTGTTTTTTTTAAAGGTGCTGTGTGTGTTTGTGAGGGTGCGGTTAGTGTACTGTGTGTGTGTGAGCTGTATGTGTGTAGGTGCTGTATGTGTGTGTGCTGTATGTTTGGAGGGATTTGGCAGATTAGTAAATCCTTGCTGCCATGTGCCATCCCTGGTGGTCCAGTGGAGAGTGAACTCTAGCCTGCGGGGCTAGAGTTAACTCTCGCGAGATCTGAGCGTTGCCGCAGCAACGCTCAGATATCGCGAGAGGAACCTGGCGGAGCTTCTGTCTAGAGCTGCCTGGGTCCTCTACTGCCTCCCTCCATGCTGCTGTGGGCCGGTGAGGTAGATCTTTGGTCTCCCCGCCGGCCCATGAAGGCTTAGAGCAGAGTTCTGCGTGTGTGTGTGTGTGTGTGTGTGTGTGTGTGTGTGTGTGTGTGTGTGTGTATATATATATATATATATATATATATATATACGGACACACACACACATACATACTCACAGACACACACATACACTCACAGACACACACTCACACACACACTGACACACACACACACATACATACTCACAGACACACACTCACACTCACAGACACACACACATACTCACAGACACACACACACACACACACTCACAGACACACACACTGACACACACACATACTCACAGACACACACATACTCACACACACTCAAAGACACACACAGACACACACACACACATACTCACACACTCACAGACACACTCACACACACACTCACACACACTGACACACACTCACACACACACACACTGACACACACACACACATACTCACACACACGCACACACAAATTATATTTTAATTTAAAAAAAAAATGTCCACCCAGCCTCCTACCTGGAGTGCTGGTGGACATTTCCCTGGGGTCCAGTGGGGGCGGGCACCTCTCTGCAGCTCAGCGCGCGGCGAGGGAGCTGTCTGCTCTCTGCTCCCTCTCGCCGCGCGGGCTGTCTGCTGGAGCTGGGAGCCGGAATATGACGTCATATTTCGGCTCCCGGCATCAGCGCGCGGCGAGAGGGAGCAGAGAGCAGACAGCTCCCTCGCCGCGCGCTGAACGGGGGGCGGGGGGGCGGGGAATCCATCACCTCTTGCCCTCCCCATGACAGGGGCAAGAGGTGAAACAGGGGGCACTGAGTGCCTGCAGGAACAGCGTTCCTGCTCAAAAAAAGTGCAGGAACGCTGTTCCTGCAGGACTCAAACCATAGGCGTGCCACGGGGATTAGGGTGTGCCCAGGCACACCCGGCACACCCCGTGCGCACGTCTATGATTACAATACAATATTAGACTATTTTTGAAATTCAAATTCTCTGCCCTCGAGGAAATGGGGATAAAACCTACTGAAATAGACCATAATAAAAACGAAATAAAAAGGGGGCTACAGGGGAGGATTACAGTGTGAGGTAGGTCGATTCTAACGTGCTACCTCAGCACTGACAAACAGCACGTATGCTTCATATTCTTACATTCATTCCATGGTATCCTGACCTTTTGATTGGATGACATACCATTGCCATAAATTTTATATCAATATCTCATATTTTTACATCATTGGTGTCCATGGTAGGTGCAATATCATGGAGCCACCATGCCAATCCTTTATGGGTTTCAAGGGTGATTTTATTAAAAGCTTTTGAAAATGATTAGCAAGCCTCTCACAAGATTTATTTGCAATGTCAAGTAGTTCCCTGCAAAATAACCTCTAGTAAGACATAGGTCAAGTGAAGTTTGAAAACTGTAATAATGGTGACTTATTCTACCCATTTTCTTTACCAACAGGATGCTTTCTCGATGTTGCCTGCCTGGTGCAAAGGACAGTGTTTATAACAATGATTAACAAGGAGCTGAATGAAGGTGTCCAAATGTAGGAAAAAGAGGTATTGAATTTAATTTTATTTTCCACACCTAGCTAATACATATTTGTTAAATATAGTATATTTATAAGCATGAAATTAAATATCCTGTCTTAAATTGGAACTGTAACTTCTCTGGGATTCTATTTTAAATGTATATTAAATATTTAGCAAATGACATCATAATTCAGAGCCACCATTTTGTTTAAATGTACATAGAAATTTAGGCCAGAGCACAGGTAACTTTCTCTTTGTTTTTATTATGTATTTTGAGCTGTTAGATGCTAAGCTACTGCTGCTGTAAGCTCAGTGCTTTATTTTTATGTTTGTATATGATGTTCCATTGCTGCCAGCCACCCCATGTTTGTCTTATTAAGAATTTACAAGTATGTAGGGGTAGCATTCCTTCCTGTCTCAACAGAGAAACTTGCCTTTTAGCTGATACCAGCAAGGTGCTTTGTATGTGTTATAGCCCTATTTAGGGTTAATAAGTGTGTAGGTTTTTTTCAAACACCGCTTCCTGTCTCATTGGAGATTCTTGGCTGATATCAGCAAATCTAATGGCTAGTGTAGGACTCACCTTTTGAGGCTTGCGTTGACGTGGCAGGTGAGCTTATAGTCAAATGGCCATTGCAATAAAATTAAAGAACCTCCATTTTGTTTAAATGTACATAGGGATTTAGGTCAGAGTGCATGAAACTTTCCCTTTGTTTTTACTATGTATTTTGAGCTGTTAGATACTAAGCTACTGCTGCCGTAAGCGCAGTGTTTTATTTGTATTTGAACATCATAATTCAATTCAGAAAAGACAGAGGCAAGGCAAACTTTGAAATTAAAGAGGAAAAATAGAAACTTTGTTTCATTTCTCATCTTCTCTGTTTGCTTTCTTGTTGTGTTTACTTATCCTTATGCAACAAATGTTAAAAATCCTGAGTAGTGATAATTCTTATTTAACCACTTCACTACATAAACTGAGTATATACATATTTTATTTTTATAGATATCACACAATAACATGTACTCCATAAAGCCTCACTCATCTTATTTATAGCCTAATTCTTCTTACTGGGCAGTAGTGCAACACACTTCTTTGCCACAATCCACTAGTTACTAATGCAATGATTGTAAAATTGTTAAAAATATAAGCTCACCTCCTGCTTCCAAATAGTAAAGAAAGTTTATATGGGTCATATTATTCCTACAGTCAGGTAGGAGGGAGGAGTGAATGGACCCTACCATTTCATGTTAAAATTACAATAGCATTCCAGAGATTGAAAAAAGATTGTTGTAGCAGTTTTATATACTTTTATTTTAGAAACATATGAGTTACTATATCTTGGCATGATGCTCAAATGCTGACCTTCATTTTATATGCTGTTACCATTTACAGTAAGGTGTTTTGTTGGTGTCACGGGAGTCGTAACCAAACACACAGTAAACCACAAAAGGTGGATCCGAAAGATGTATTACCGAGCCTTAGAAGGACCAGACTTAACTTAACTAAACAACACGAAACAGGGTCAAGAATAAATCAAGGACAGGAATAACAGGAATACTGAGAGTCAAGACAAAGCCAGGGTCAGGATACCAGAAAACACGAGTCAAATGCGAAGCCCAAAAATCATGAGTCAAATATGAAGCTCAAATACAGGAAATCACAAGAGAATCTATGAACCTATGTTCTGATAGGTGTCACGGCACAGCACGAGCCCCTGCAGACAGCAAGGCATGGCCACCCCTTTAAGAGACCTGGCTGGGTTTGAACTCACAGCTCCATCTCTCAGTCAGGTTCTCTGCCGTGCTGTCCACCAGGGGGCTTCAGTTTCTGCTGTCGGGTAAACCCCAAACCTGGGCACACCAACTCCTGCACCCCAGCAGTCCAATACTGGACTCATGGGACTCCTTTGCTGCAGCAATGTATAGATTATACCATGACACCCTGAGACCCTCTGCTGCACGCACTGCCCTCCATACCCTCCAGCAAGGTAGAAGAACAGTGAAGGATTATACTACAGATTTCCATGATCTAGCTGCTGACACCGGTTATAATGAGACTGGTCTAATAGAGCAATACCGATTGGGTCTGTCTGAGGCATTAAAATATGAACTAGCCAGAGTTGGGGTACCCACTTCATTGGAAGATTTGTTCCTTCTGGTCACCCAGCTAGATCGCCGGTTCAGAGAAAGAAAGCAGGAGCAATTTGAAACCAGCTTTTTGCCCCATCAATGTTCCAACCTGCTGGTGAGACCTATACCCCTATCTCCACCATGGACACAGAGGAACCCATACAAATTGGAACACTGTATGCTATGCTAACGGTAAATGAAAAATCCAGAAGGAGAGCCAAAGGCCTTTGCTTCTATTGTGGCAAGGGAGGCCACTACATCAGCTATTGCCCGATATGTCCTCCTCGCCCTAAACATAGCCATGTGGGGACTCTGTGTCAAACATAGCCATGTGGGGACTCTGTGTCACCATCCTACAAGTCCAAAATAATACATATCCTTCAATTGGGATGGTTAGATCTACAGAGGATCCAATCAAGCAAAAACACAAAATAGTCACCAATTGTTCAACCCTGCATGCTACTGGACCGCAAAGACCACCTAACCAGAACAATGGCACCATCACAGCCCTGGGTAACTCTGCTGCTGTTCCAGAGCCTCAAAGGGAGGTTGCTGTGGCTACCTTCCAATCCTCAGCTAAAGTTTCCTGCTCTAACACAGAGGATCTGTCCCCAGACTGTGTAATTGCCTCCAATGGAACTGTGGTCCACAGACAAGATCTAAAGGTCTTTGAGCAGGCTCTTAAGGCCAGAGCTGCATCCCCTTCTCGCCTCCTTGCCTCCACTGCCTTCTCAAAGAATAACAATCTGCAAAATGTTCCAACCCTCTCAGATTCTGATGCCTATACAGACCTTGATTTCCTGTCTGAACCTGAACTGGACTAGTTGTTCGCAGCCCTTTTCCAATTAGGGTCAGCAGCACCTAATTAACAGGCTGTAAAAGCCAGCCCTGCTTGAAACCTAGTATCTGGTTATTTTACCTGTTTGGTGTTTCCTGCCGGATCTTTGATTTGCTTCTGACTGATTTCCTGGACTCTGACCTCTGCCTGATTTACCGACTTTGTTACTCCGCTGCCAGCCATGACTTCTGCTTCTCATCTGATCCTGCCTTTGTATTTCCCCTTAATCTGTACTGTGTTTTGGATTTTGCCTGCTTCCTGTGCCATCTCCTGCAACTGGGTTTCAACTCCTGGTAAACTGTTCCATAAGTCCCCTGGTGACTGTAGGTCCACGTCATCACTGCGATCCAAAACAGATCACAATGATGCCGTGGTCACTTTAAGAGTGGGCGTGACATCACATCCACATCTATAAATAAACTACCTGCCATGTGGCCGCGTAATTCAGTCAGACCATGCAGCAGGAGGAGGTCAGCTAGGATTGGAGGAGGTGAGTCTTCTTCAGTGTGCTGCGCTATCGTGGAGCTATTGGACAGCGCGGCTGGAGGTAGACTAAGACCGAGGGAGGTGAGTTTCCCTCAGTGTGCCACATGGTCACATGGAGTGGTCAGACCACGCCGCAGGTAAGTAATGCCACATTACCCCCCCAAGAGGATACAGCCACTGGGAGTGAAGGACCAAGCTTGTCCGGTTGATGGCA